CTCATTCCAACCCCATGCCACGGGCAGGGGACACCTTCCACTATCCCAGGTTGCTCAGAGCCGTGGGCTGGGAGGCCACATCCAAAATGAGCTTGAAAATTAACCATTATTAGGTCAAATCTGTGAAAACGGGAGACAAGAAAAGTGACAAGCTGAGCCAAAATTATCAGCAGGTGACAAGAGCCCAATCCTGATATTAAAATCCGTTTCTCCAACGTTTAAAATAACCCCCACTGCGTTATAGTTTTAATGTTATCAGCAATATATTGGCAAGAGGGTACTTTGTTCTCCTCTGTGCCACGAACAAAACGTTCCTTGATATCCCAGGCAACCACAATCCATCCTCTTCTCCAGCCACAGCAGCCACCACCAGGAGGGAGAGGCCCAGAATTCCCATCTCCAGCAAAAAAAACAAAACCCAAACCCTTTAAAACTTCCCCGCACGGGCAAGGCCAGAACCTTGACTTGGAATGAAACACCAGAGAGGGGAAAAAAAAAATAATGGGCTGGATTGTCTATTTTTGCTGCTGATAAAAACGATATTCACTATGACATCACCTGAATAATTAAGTTCTTACAACCACCAAGGCGGGTTTAATCTTTTTAAAGCAAAGATCAGAAGGAAAATAGAGAAGATTTCGAGATAAGCTCAGTAGCTGCTTCAAAGAACTCGGCTAAAATTACTTTTGAAAAGGAGTTGGGTTGTGCTCATTGTTCCTGCAGGAAAAAGTCTTCTCCAGCAGTAGCTGGAGCATGTTTATAAAACCCTTAGGAAAGCAAAACTATCTGTCCACGGGATTCCCAAATTCCAGTGCTTATTTATGACTTTTCCTGAAAAATCGGCAAAAAAGCCTCTTCCCAAATTTCCTTTCTGGAATGATTAGAAAGATTCACACCAAGGCTGGTTGGGATCTACAAAGTGAGTTTAAAAGGTGTTGAAGGATTTATTCTGATTTTTGAAGGGGACTGATTGCAAAAAACCCCCACATGTCTCGTGTCCCTTCCTCCCAAAAAAATGTCCCCGAAACTTTGTGGCAAAAATCCTAAACTAAAAATACCAAAGAAGAGCAAATGTGACCTCTTAAAACAGATAATTAATTAAGTACAAATCATGCCCCGTCCCTGGAAGTGTCCAAGGCTGTGTTGGATGGGGCCTGGAGAAACCTGGGATAGTGGAGGCACCTGACACGGAATAAAGGATGGATATTCAGCACCCAGCACAAAACTGAGCTCCTAATGGGAAATAAAAGAGGATTTCTGATATAAAAATCAGAGTTTGAATTTGTCAGGTCTTCCCCATCAACAGTAAATCCACATCTGCTTCCATTCCTCTAAATTACATGGAAAACTCAAGCAACTTTGCTCCCAGCAAGGCACCACTGAGGCCTTTTAGTCCAGGAAAATGATGGATATCAGATCCCAAGCAAAGATAATTAATTCCACTCCTCAAGGACTCCCACTAGGGCAGCAAAAGCCTTTGAAATAGTTTCTTTTTCTTTTTTTTTTTTTTTATCTCTTTGGTATCTAAATTGGGAATCTCTCCCATCAACCCAATGCCAGCCTGGCCCTGGAGCATTCATGGAAACTGGGAAGAGTCCATTTACATTTGGATTGGAGAGAAATTAATCTTAACTCAGAACTTACTTGACTTTGCAGGAAATCTGATTTTTTTTGGACCATTTCATCTCCTACTTTTCGTAAGAGAAATGTACTTTACAACCAGCTCTGGGGACAGGCTTTTGTGAGAAATGTACTTTACAACCAGCTCTGGGGACAGGCTTTTGTGAGCATCTGTTTCACTTTTCAGCCAAATCCATCCCAGTTTTGAGACCTATTTTCACAGACTGGGGGCAGGTCACCATGTTTATGTTAAAGGCCAAGTTTAGTTGCCTTGATAATTTCCAGGAGGAATAAAATTCTGACACTCTCCCTGTGGTTCCTGCAGGACACGGACGTGGAACAGCAGCCAAAGGCACTTCAAACTTTGCCTTTCCAACTTACCCAACTTTTCACTTTACTCCCGAGGTCAGATGGCTGATGGAAAGGGAATTACAGTTTTTATGGCAACAGGAATTCAAAATTTGGCTGGACACAGTCCTGGGATGATCCTGCCACCATAGGAACATGTGGAATTATTTCCCCAAACACGATTAGGAGGAGGAGCAGCAAACATGGATTTTGAACCAAGAGACGACTAAATGTGATCATTTTATGATGGGATTGTGTCCACTTCCCTGCTTTTTTTTTCCTCCTTTCATTTCTGAAGGGAGACCACAAGAAAGATGGAGAGGGACTTTGGGCAAGGGATGGAGGGAGAGGACACAGGGAATGGCTTCCCACTGCCAGAGGGCAGGGAGAGATGGGAGATTGGGAAGGGATTCCTGGCTGGGAGGGTGGGGAGGGGCTGGGTTGGGATTCCCAGAGAAGTTGTGGCTGCCCCTGGATCCCTGGAAGTGTCCAAGGCCAGGTTGGACGGGGCTTGGAGCAACCTGGGATAGTGGAAGTTGTCCCTGCCCATGGCAAGGGGTGGAAAAGGATAATCTTTAGAAAACTGAGGACTGGGATGTGGTCACGGAGCTGCTACAGCTCCTACAAACCCTTCCCCTCTTTCCTGTTCTCTCCCAGAAACTTGGGAGTGTGGAGGACACCAAGGGCAAGGTAAGGTAACATGAGCTCCTTTTGGCCCTCCACTTACTCCTCAAAGAGCTGGAATACTGAGATATTGATTCTCCATCTTTGTGGAAAAACAGATTTTATTTCTCATGGAAAGCAACGGACACTTCCCAGATCTGGCAAATAACCGGGAAAATGTGTATCCGGGTCAAGCCTGGAAACATCCAGGTAGCCATAAACCAAGGTGGAGGCACACAGGCATCTGGTTGTTCACTCCTTTTTGGGATTATTTATCCCTTTAGGAAGCCAGAGAAACACAAGTTTTCATTGGAATATCAGCTCCGGCTCGGGAGCATCCAGGGGAATCCAGCACAGGATTAACCCCGGGGTCTTTCCCACACGGAGCAGTCACGCAGGAGGGAGGCAGGGCTGGAGCAGCTGCATATTCCAACCCCCTCACCCCCCCCCACCATCAGCAATTTTCCAGAATAAATTACTGTGCCATCATCTCTGGTGGCAAAGATGAAGCAACGCTTGGACGGACTCGGCGATTTTTAACCTCGGATTCGCTGGTGTCGGGGGAAAAAAAAGGGCCCAGTCACCACAACCCTGGGCAAACTTTGCACATGAACCCCTAAAATCCACGTGGAGCCAACTCCAGCTCGCAATTTAGGATAGTCTGGCCTCAGGAAAGGCACTCAGAGATTTGGAGTTGAGTTAAATAACGTGAATTTCTGATAACAATATGATCTTATTCAGGAAGCGAGGGATACTCCCCACAAAGCTCCGGATTTCCCCCCAATTTAACAATGTATTTCACTGGTATGATCTAGGACAAAATTATTTCCCCCCCCAGCCCCTCCCCCCCCAGCTTTGGAAATCTGTTTCAATTATAACTGTGGATTGTTTAATTAGGGAAGCACCTTTAGTTTGAGGGGAGAGAGAAAAAAAAAAAACCTAAATCGACGGGTTAAAAGAAAAAAACCCTTCTAATGCTCCCCGGGGTCCCTGGGTCCTTCAACCCAATTTGATGTGAATGAAACCATTATTGTTCTTTTGACTCCTGCTGAGCCATTATCCAACGGTTTGCTGGGGATTGGAGGAGCCCTTTCCTACGGGATTTTGTTATTCCAGGATTTCAGCCCTCAGCTGCGCGGCTTAAAGCAGTTTTTTGTTGGATATTTTGAGGGAGCAAAAAAACCCTCTTGGTTTTGTAGGTTCTTAGAGGAATTTTAGGTTTGCCTACGGTGGGTGTTTGTTTGAAATCAACCAAGAGAAAGCCACGCAGCCCCTTTTTTTCTCTTTTTTTTTTTTTTTTAAGCAGTTTAACATATTAAAACCTGCAGCGAGGAAGACTCAATCAACCCCCTGAAACTGCACATCCCCCCCCCGCCAGAGATTTCCTGCCATAAAAATGCTCCAACATTGGATGGAAGAGTCCCACCCTAATAAAAGCCAACAGGGAAAACAACAGAAAGGGTTAAAAGGTAATAAAAGGATTATTATCATGCCTAAGTCAAACCTTTAAGTGATATTTTATTGCATTAAAATGTGAGCTTTGATGATTCAGCTGGTGTTCTAACTGCTTCAGAGCCAAAATCCTAATTTTTAGTATCCCTGTAGGTGCAGATATTTGCTGTAAAACCTCCTGGAAAGAGAGTTCCTTTCAAACGAGTTAAAGAAAATATCTATGCAGTCATTCCAAAAACAATTTCCCACTTTGGCTCTAAAGTAGGTTTCAAGAAATTTAATACCTAAAATACTTTCATTTCAGAATAAAACTGAATAAACCAGGGGACAGTTTGATCTTAGAGGCTGCTGTTCCTGTGATAACTGAATTAAACTGAGCAGGTAAGTGGAAAAAAAAAAAAAAAGAAACCTGATGAGCTGTGAGCTCTGGTTTTCTTCAGGAGATACTTGAAGTAAGATTTCATACAGATGTTTTTCTGGCACACAAAATGAGCACAAAACCTCGAGGCAAATCAGAGCACCAAAACTGCTGTAGACCAACGGCAAGGACCAGAAAAACCAAGTGTTCAAGCTGACGACACCTCAGTTTAAAAGCCAAAATCCCACCTGAGCAGCACTCCTCTAACGACCACAAATAAACTCCTTAAAGTCCTGGTGGTGAAGTCGTTTTAAAATAACATCTTTATACCCCTGACAGGTCGCACGCGGCCCTGAAATTCCGCAAAAAAAGCCACGGAGCAGCGGATTTTCCAAGAGCATCAAGTCTTCCAGAAGGCCTAATGGTTTATCCAAATGATTCGAGGATGGCAAGAACTTTTAGTCAGGGATGGCAAAGCTCTTGCCATCCTCGAATCATTTGGACAAGTAATCCTTACCACACTGCATCATCCACGGCCATGTCACAGCGGGTTCCTCACCTGGTAGGGACACGGGATGTGGTATTCCCGGCAGCGCTCCTGGATCCACGTGGTCTCCCACACGCCGCGATAGGCCTGCTCGTAGAAATAGCAGCCGATGACGACCAGCAGCGGCACGAGGTACAGGACGCTGAACACGCCGATGCGGATCATGAACTTCACCAGCTTGTCCTGGTTCTCCTTTTCCAACGGGATTTCGATGCGGACCCGGTTGAGGGAGATAATCCCGGCCAGGAGGAGGGAGACTCCCACGACGACATAGAGGCAGAGAGGGGCGAGGACGAAGTATCTCAGCGCGTCCACGTCGTAGAGGCCGACGAAGCACACGCCGCTGATGTTGTCGCCCTCGATCTTGTTCATGGCCAAGAGGATGATGGTGAGAGTGCCCGGGATTCCCCAGGCGCTGGCGTGGAAAAGCAAGGCCTTCTTCTCGATGGCCTCGCTGCCCCACTTGGGCACGGCGGCCAGGAACCAGGTGATGGTGAGGATGACCCACCACACGCTGCCGGCCATGGTGAAGAAGTAGAGCACCATGAAGAGCATGGTGCAGGCCTTGTTGTGGGAGCCCTGGGTCACCGTGGACGCCTTGTACTGGGCGGGGCTGGAGGCGTTGCACGCCACGCGGTCCTCCAGCAGGAAGCCGATGAAGAAGATCAGCGACACCATCATGTAGCAGACGGCGTAGAATATGATGGGCCGCTCCGGGTAGCGGAACCGCGTGACGTCGATCAGGAAGGTCAGGAAGGTGAACAAGGTGGCGGAGAGGCAGACGATGGAGATGACGCCGATGAAGTAGCGGGCGAAGGAGAGCTCCTCGCGGCGGAAGTACATGTTGGGGCAGGGAGGGGAACAGTCGCGCACCCTCAGGAAGGAGTAGCCCAGGTCGGGGTCTATTTTCAGCTCCCGAGGGCACCAAAAGCCATAATCCCTCTGGACTGCCACTGGGGCCTCTTCCGTGGGCTCCCCGGCCGAGCTGAGGTCAACGAGGCGAGGGTACGGCTCGTCGCAGTCCGGGAACCTGAACAGTGGGAAGAGGAGGGTTTACGAGGAATATCCACGTACTTTGCAAAGATCAGTAACCTCATCTATAGGGGTGACTTCAGGCACAGTAACCTTATTTCTAGGGGTCACTTCAGGCACACCAACTGGAGTGAGAACAGACAATCCAAGTTAGGGGTAGTCCATGAAATACCCATGAAATACCTATTTATACCCAAACTCCAGAGCTCCTTGTCCCAGAGTGCAGTGGATGTTGAAACCACATAACAGGTTAAAAAATTAAACAGAGAAATAAATGGACAAGGAGCCCACTGGGGCTTTAGGGATAAAGGGGAGGGTACAAAATCCATCTCAGGAGGTCTGTAAATTTAGGCTCACTGTAAACTGAGACCATGTACCCATGGAAGCAGGGTTTTATAGAGCATTTTAAAGCCTTTCCTAAGCAACTTCACTTGCTGGTCTCAGGACAGTGAGATGCTTACACCAAAAGTCCAACCCAGCATTCATAAATCAAAATTATGATGAAGATATTTGTTGATTAAAGCTCTGACTGGGGGCTAAGGACTGCTGGAGGAACGGTCTTGAAGGAGAGACTGGAGGGATTCCACACATTACAAGCATCCTCTGACTTATTTTGCTAAAATAATTCTTCATTGTTTTTCCTTCTCTCCAATCCAACTGTAAGAGAAACTATTTCTTCCTGTTTGGGGTTCTGCATTTTGACTGTTGGAGTCACTTATAAAAAAAAAAAATAAAGCAGAAGATCTTGTTCTTAATTTCATGCACACTCTGTTTCAAATAGTTTGGAAAATCATCAAATGCTTTTTCTGTAAGTTATTTGTGTAATGTAAAGCTGAAAACTGCTGTTCGCACACGAGTTCAACAAGAGGTAGACGCTCTGAAAACAGAGCTTTGAGATTTTACACTCCTCAAAACCAGCCAGTTTTCAACTCTCGGGCAGGTGATGGAAATAGGAACTCAGTTCCCACCTCAGGAAACAGGCTGGGAAGCGGAACGGAAAACGCGGGCACTCGCGGTGGAAAACACGCAAAACATCTGTTTGAGACCATAAAACGCCTGAGACGGTGCCAAAATTTTACCTTGGGATTGCGAAAGGGGAAAAAAAAACAACAACCACTCGGATCTTCTCACCTGGTGCACTCCATGTCCTCGGGCCAGGCCACCCCGAACATCTCCATGAGCTTGGAGCACTCGCTGTAGGCCCTCTGGCAGAGCCGGCGGCAGGGCAGGGTCACCCGCCCGTACTCCATGCACACCGGGGCATACAGGGCACACAGGAAGGGCCGGAAATCCCGGGAGCATTCCAAATTCACCATCGGGTGGAAGGGCTGGGGAAGGGAAAAAAAAAAGCAGGATTCAACAGCTGCAACCAGCACATCTGCAGGGGGGGTTTCACGGGAAGCTTTGCTTTGTTTCGTAGCAACCGTAACAGGACCTCGTTTCTCTGTTGGAATGATCAGGTATTTTGGTGATCAAGAAGCCTGGGGACAAGGACAGCGATTCACAAGGGACATTTATGTCCTTGATTTGCATTAAAAGCAGAGGGAATTAAGCAGCTAAACCCCCCAGAAGGGAATTTCAGTTCTACCATCAGAGCGCATCCGTAGAAGGAAAACACTCCCAACCTGCCCGCTACCATTGTCATATAAACTCTCATCAACTTCCCAGCTTCCAGAAAAGGGCTGTAACCGTGTAACCACAGAGAAGGCACAGTAAATATGTCATTTCTTCACCAACCATCAGAAAAAGGCACCGTGAAATCAAAGCCTGAAAAAAAAAAAAAATGAGTCAGGAAAAAATGACTGGTGTCTTGCGCTCCCGCGGCGCTTTATAATGGGTTTGAGTATCGGTGAGAGCAACGCTCCTTGGAAACTCTGAGAGGAAATCTATCCCAGTTGGGCAAACACAGCTGGTCGTGAGCATTTCTGAAGATGAAAAAGAAGGAAAAATAAGTAGGGCAGGGATTTATGTCTGAATAAAAGCTGGAGCACGTTGATAATCCACGTTATCTTCTAACTATCCTGTGTGGGTTCATTCTGCTCTTACTCGTCTTTAAAACTTTCCAGGAGTTAATCAATATTTTATTCCAAGCCTGTGTGGCACTTACTGTTATCCAAAGCCTCACCATCTCTTTGGATATTAATATAAGATCAATTATATTCCTTTGAGAGTGGAATATTCAAGGACACAGAATACTGAGATCCATTAGGACTTACAACTCCGGAATGAAACACAATTTTGATGCCAGAGTTTCCCCTTCTCCCCAGCCAGGCAGGATTACAGAGCAAAGGGAGCCTAATCTTCAGAATTCGTGGTGCAATAGCTGAAGCACAAATGAACCTGCTGTAGATAAATATATATAAACCCCAAATCTTATTAGAACTGAAGCTGAAGAGGAGCTGCAGAAAGATTATATTTGCAAACAGCAATTTCCTGAGAAGTATTTTAAACCAGTTCAGCTTTTTTTTTCTTTTTCTTTTCCAAGAGTAGAGTAGAACAGACTAAATAACAAAAAATAGGTCATCTTCTGTGGCAATATAAATGAGAAATACTAGGAATTGTATGGAAAAGTTTCATTCTCAGTTCTCCCTTATCACCTCTTTACTCTTTCGGTTCTTCCCACACGTCTCCTTTTCCCTGCAAAAGGTTAATTTTTGGAATACAAGACACAACCACGCTTTTACTGTTTTGTTGTTTTGGTTTTTTTTAAACATCATTATTATTTACCAAGCTGATTAAATTCCCTTCGTTTTTCCAGTGTCCCATGACAGGAGAGCTGTGCAATTTGGCACTAACCTGCATGAAGAGCAGTAGAAACCTCCAGAGTCACCCACGAGGAAAAAGGCAGCAGCAGTTGGAAAGTATTTACATTTACAAGCTCGTGTGACTGGAGAGCATCTTTCTGTTTGGCTGGACAGGTACTTCAGATGCATAAATGTATTTATTTTTGAATATTTAGGACTCACAGTACAGTTAAAGGCATTGCTTGACCACATGGATCCAAGAAATTGGTTGTAGGCAGTTATGATTGCAAAAGCTGAAGGTAAGTCTTCCTTTATTTGATGCAAAGGGAAAATAAAGGAAGTGTTTAACTCTCTTTCTTTTCAAAGAACCTTGAAAGTAAGAAAATTGAGTTATATCTTTATGAAAAAGAGCCACTGGCTTCATTCCTGGCTCGATCCCAAAATCCTGCCTCCTGCCACTGAGGTTTTCCACACCTAAATTTCAAGTTCTCCTGACAAATGCTCCCCTACTCTCCTCTGCTACATCTCCAATTAAGGAAAGATGTTCCAGGAGTTCCTCTTTTCCTGCTATTTTGCCTTCATTAAAATTTCTGTTTAGTTTTGCATGAGTTGAAGAAGATGAACCGTTTTAGGAAGAGCCAAGGTGTGCAAACACAGCTCCAGGGCATGGATATTCCAAAGCAAAGGGAAGTAGTAAGGCCAGTTCAAGGGAACAGAAAGGTACCAGGACACCAAAACATCTGAAACAACACTGGAATAACTGGATTTTCCCAGAGGATCCCCGCAGAAGGCACAGCAGTCCCACAGCAGGTGCACTTTGGGTGCTGGAAAGGGTCTGGTTTTGAGCTCGGCCCTGGCATATTCCTCAAAACACAGAACAGATTTACTCAATCCCAACAATCCCTGCCTCTTCTCCCAGGGAACAAGGGACAGGACAAGAGGAAACAGCCTCAAGCTGTGCCAGGGGAGGGTCAGGGTGGACTTCAGGTGGAATTTCTTCCTGGACAGGGTTATTAAACATTGGAACAGGTTTCCCAGGGAGGTGGTGGAGTCCCCATCCCTGGAGGAGGTGTCCAAGGAATGACTGGACGTGTCACTCAGTGCTCTGGGCTGGGTGACAAGGTGGGGAAGGGGTCACAGGTTGGACTCGATGATCCCAGAGGTCTTTTCCAACCTAAATGGTTCTGTGATTCCTGGAGAAATTCCCTTTTAAGCAGGGCTAATCTAGCAGGACCGTTCCCCAGCGCTGGCTGTTCTGGTTCTCAGCACCTCCAGGCCTCTCCCACACCACTGTGTCTCCCAAAACAGCATCTGCAGGCAGAACAAAAACTCTCTTATGAGCTATAATCAAATCATTTTCAAAATCACGAGGAGGCTCAGCTGGAGAACAGGAGAAGAAAAAAAACCCTACGACAACTCCTTGTAAGGCAGGAAAAGAGACTGACCTGCTTCCAAGCAGCAACAGCAGCACTTGTGTCTTCAAGTGCCCCATCTCTAAAATTATCTCAGAATTATCTTACCCCCTTGCAGCTCTTAAGATGAAAAGTCACTTCCACCTACTGATTATGTTGTTCCCTATTAAAACTAAAGCCAGGGGCGTTAAAAGACTCTTTTCATGCTCTTGCCCAAGGACCCAGTGCAAGTTATGACACCAAGCCCTGGTGCCTAACAAAGGGCTCTCTGTGAAACGAGATGTGCTCTTGAAAAACGCCTGTTGAACAGCTCCAAGAGGGAAAGGGAAGAGGGCAAGGACAAGGGAAGGCGTGACAGCCAAACCGATTTCAGTAATTCAGGCCGAGTCTTGGGAAATCCCAGGAAGGGAAGAGATAAAATGTTTAAGAGGAGATAAACACTTGTGCGCTCCTGAAGGTACTCAAGGATTTAAACCATGCCAGATCACACAGCTGTGCAACATATTCCCAGTTCTACACCCACTGGGTCCTTCCACCTCTGGGAACAACCTTTGTGACCACGCAAATTCCTTCAATCCCAGAGATAACTGTGAGCTCTTCCAGGCTGAGTCAGAGCCCTCTCTTTGCCATCCAGGTGTTGAGTATCAATAACACCCCACAGCCCTCTATCACTGCTTCCCTCAGAGCAGCACAACCTGCAGCACAACCTCTCCCAGCTCTTCTTTCCCTCTTCCCCAGAATTTTTTTTGTGATGGTGGCAAAGCTGTTTTAAGAAATTTCCCGGCTCCCAGCAGTGTGGCCCCATCTCCTTCTTTCCCTGCAATTCCCATTTGCTGAAAAAAAAGCTTTAATGGCCACTCTCTAACAGAGAGCAGAAAATTCCTGCTTGCCTTATGTTTTGTTTTCAGGAGGGGATCACGGAATCACAGAATGGTTTGGGTTGGAAGGGACCTTAAAGATCATCCAATTCCACCCCCCAACTTTCATCCCCCAAGGGATGAAAGGCAAAGGATAGCCAGAATGATATGTGTCCATTTCCTCCCCCCCCCCCAAAAAAAAATAATTTTTGGAACAAATTCTCATTTTTGGTTACAAAGCGAAAGCAACAATTTTATCTCTTAAATACCCCCTGGACCTGCATTTAGTTTCAGACTTCTCATATTCCTGAGAGATAATAAACCATTATCTCTCAGCTAATAAACCAAACTCTTTATTTTACACAGCAGTAGCCATTTAAAACTGGCTGTTACTTGGGAAGCGACAATGCAAGACTCAAAGCGAGTTATTTTGCTGATTTTTTTTCCCTTATCTATTCCATCCTTTGAACAGAGAACTAAACAGGAAGCGTTCTCATAAACTCATAGAGGGAAGGAGGGAAGTTTTCTCCCCTCGGGCTCCTGGGAAGAGAGCGATGCTATGACTATCAATTGCTTTTGAAATTCTCTGGTGGAAGCAGCTGCCTCGGGGCATATCCAGCCACAGGAGCTGCTCTTTGTGCCCTGCCTTGCCCCGGCTTTGATTCAGCCTGCTGTTCATTAGGGAAAAAGGCTGGAATTGTATCTCAAAGGGCACGGGCACTGCTGCCTTCCAGGCTGCCTCCCCTGAGGCTGCTGCTGGGTTTAACTCTCCAGACAGCTCCTGGTTAAGCTGAGCTTGTTCAGCCTCCTGCTTTTGATGACCACGGGTCTCCCTGACTGAAGAGACCTCAGCTCTGAACAGTCCATGTCCTCCCTCCGAGCAGAACTGGCTTTCTGGAGACAGTGGAAATTTGTTTTCCGGCGTCCCCGCTCCCCTAAACTTGCCAGGTTTCCCGGAGCCTGCACCCCACACTCCTGGTGCACACACTCAACCTGGAAATACTCATTTTAGGTTAATTCCCCTGCTGGAATAAACAGCTGAAGCCAACTTTAAACCGGGCTGCGCTTGAGGGTCCTGCCTTAACCCACCTGGGGCCTCCTGAAGGAGCTCAGGGAACGTTCTCACAGGCACAGCAGGGCTGGTGCTCGGCAAAGAGCACTGATTTTGGGGCACTTGGTCAGGAAAACAGAGCCATTCCTACTCCTCCCACTCGAGCTGGATGGTGACACTCAGTAATGGTGGCAGAAAGGGCCAGGAGCACGCTCAGGTGTGTCAGAGCGAGCCTGTTTCTTCTGGAATTAATCCATCCCTGCCCAAATTAACGTGGCTCTGGAGGTGCAGCTTTACTGCAGACACTTTATTCTGTTTTCTAAAGGCACCAGGTTACTTTGCCCAAGCCTGCTTTGAATGCACAGTGCCAAGACACGTTCTCAGTGTGGAATATTTGGCATGAAGTGCATCCAAACTTACCATTAACTTCCTTGTTGAGAAACTGAGATATACTTTTATTTTTATAATTATTTCTAGCTTTGCACAGTGATGCACATACAAAAAGCCAAATGGGGCACAGTTCTGGCTGCCTGTTGAGCTCATCCTTCAGCTTGGAATTAAAGCTATCCACACATTTATCTGTATAAACCCCATAACCCACTGCATTCCCACATCCCATGTATCATAATTTGTTGTTAGCTGGAAAAACCATGGTTGCAAGGAGGATTAGATTGACACTTTAGTGACTGGGAAGGGAAAAAAA